TGCAAAAATAAATGAATGGATAGGCAGAAAAATAATTAATGATAAAGAAAACCTTGACTCTACTTGGCCACAGTTTTAATGACTTATTTTAGCACTGCAATTTAGACAGGCAAGCAAAATAAAGTGTCTTAACTATACTTTTATTTTTTAAAAGATTTATTTATTTATACACACAAGAACTGGGGTTTAGGCCAGGGGTGTAGGGGGTGAGAGGATTCACCAGAGACAGAGTGGGGAGCAGAACAGGCAGATTGACTGAAATGCACTGCTGAGGGGAGCAGACAGGAGAGGTCGGCTGCGCCATGTGAGTCACCTCCCTGGCTGATTGAACTCCTGCTGCAGTAGCTAAGGACTGCTTCACAGTGCTGATGCTTAACCCCTTGCGCCACCAGGGAGGCCAAGTGTCTTGACTATTTAAAAGTCTTCTTTAATTTCAAGATAAAGTCAATCTATCTAGGCATGCTTTGACTCAATGTCCCTTTGTTCTATCCCATGTTATTCAAACTCAATAAGTGGTCTAGGTATGTACATGTGACCAAAGCAGGGTCAATCAGTATCACTTGACAGGACGTCTATGGTTGCTTGAAAAAGAGTGAAGAAAACTGGGAACTATTTTTGCTGTTAGTTCTAGACAGGCCAGTGGACACGAAAGCCTATTCAAAGGCAAGCAGGGCTGGAAGACCAGAGAACCCCGTAATTCTCTTCTTACTTTATACCAGTCACTCAAATTTCCCCATTATATGAATGAAATATGGGCCCCTCACCCCGAGTTTTCGGTTTCTTTTTTTTTTTTAACAAAAACTAGGCCAATGTAGGTTATCGTCAAGACCAACCATTTCATCTTAATTAATAGTCCATCAAATTATACTAGTCAATAGTGCCAAATTAGGGCCTCCCCTTGTGGCGCAGCAGTTGAGCGCTGTGTTGCAAAGCTGCCCGCAGCCTCTGCAGCGCCGGTTCGATCCCCGGCCCCCGGGCAAGGGTCCCACATGGCTCAACAGACCTCTCCTGCTGCGCCCGCTGCTCCCCTCAGCAGTGTACTTCGTCAGTCTGCCAGTTCCGCTCCCCGCTCTGGCTCTGGTGAATTCTCTCACCCTCCTGCGCTTCTGACTGTACCCAGCACTTGTATAAATAAATAAATAAATCTTAAAAAAAAATAGTGCCAAGTTATATTGTTTGAATTAGATTATTAGTCACATCAGAAAAATTAGTTCTTAAACTAAAGCTGTATCTTGATGCCATAAGTCCTCAGGAGTGACCTAGCATAGATGTTACCACGGTCAATGCTCTTCATTTAACCAATATCATCTATCATGCAACTATATGATCAATCACCTGGCTTCCATCAAGCCATGTACAACTGAAAAAAAATTCCCTTCAGAGAGGCTCTACCATGAATAAAGTAAAAAATATGTTTTGTGTAGTTTCGAGCTCCTTAAACTTCTAAATTAAAAGCTCAATTATTAATTTTACTATGAAAGGCGATGTATTCTCCTATGACTGATCTAAATGGAAATAACATTCAAAATATTAATATTCATATTATAAATATTAAGGTTATCAATAACTGCTAAGATATAGATGACTGCCTTTATAGCTCCTATTATAGAAAAGATTGCTTTGGGGACTGTGACAATGATGAAGATCAATTTGTACATTTGGCTATTAATCACCCTTTCCTAATTGGGTTTAATTTGACTACCACTCATTAGAGTTATAAACTAACACACTCATTTAATTGTAATTATAATTCAATAGATGAACTTTTATGGTACGATGAACAAATTAATAGCTAAAGTTAATTATGCTATAAAAATATACAAAAGGCTTATGCTTTAAAGAACTGTATACTTGGAATATATTTATGACAGTTCTTTCAGAAAAGCTCCAGAATTGTTCTTCCTCTGAATTATTTTGAAGAAAACTTCAGAATTTATGAGGTTTTACAAACATGCTCTGGGAGATGTTTCTCACACCACTGTTACCTGCTGCCAGACCATAATCTTGACTGACAACTTCCAAAAGGATTGAATAAAAACAGTATTACAGTTTGAAATTTATCCTACTCCATGGCTGAATTTCCCTTTTTTCTTTTTTGAATATGAAATAACAAGGTTGCTGTACAGACGAGGTGAAAAGCAATATATGACCTTTAAGGACCTGTATTGAACTTCCTCTCTTTCATTTCTTAGATTTAATTATCAGCCACTCAACGCAGCATGAATTTGGACTGATATTCCCAAATTGGAGCGTGCTTCTAGATTCACTCTGATGAAAGCAAATTAATAGTTTAAGAGGGAAATAGCAGAAAAGAAGGCAAGTCACTGTAAGCCAGTCTGGCATATCACAATTAATAAGACACTACTTAGAGACAGTTGACTTTCAACCCCAGCTCTAGTATCAGGGTTATAGGAAAAATGAATGCAAAAATTTATCACAGTGCCTGGAATATGGGTTCAAGAAACAGGTTTTTTTTTTTCCTCCCTTACCTTTCTTCTCTCTATGAAATACTGATGACTTCACCATCAAATTCAACCTTCAACATATTTATGAAAACAGACTGCTTATAAATTACCTAACTCATATCTTTATCTGGTAGTCACTTGTGTAAACCATAAAATATATTATTTTCAATTGTTTCCTAAACATGAGACTTCTTGCCAGTTCTAACCTGAAATCTACACTTCTAGACTGCTTTTATACTACTAGGAAGAGGAATGGCATTTTATGTAAGGGATTGACATATTTTGTATTTGACAATGGATGCTTACATTTACAATAGTCACCTCATTTTGAAAACCACCTAACAAAATAGGTATCATTTTTACTATTCTTTCAGATATAAAAAAATAAAAAGGCCTGAGGCTAAGGCTTAACCCAGCTCTGAGACCAGAACAAGACAAATTCAGAATTGGAACCCAGTTCTATGATATTTTAAAGTTTCTGAGTCTGAGTCATACACAATTTCTGAAAATACTAAGTATGTACCTTGGCCTCAAAACTTGGTCATATTTGCATTTAATAATTCAGCTCATTTACCAATCTAATGGCAAATCCCCATTTACTGACAGCCTACAATGTGCAAGACAGCAGGCGAGACACTGGGGAGTGAAACATACTTTAACATGGTAAAGGTTTGAGAAACTTACATTCTGGTATCATACTCTTATCCACCTGGTAACCTACTCTCCATCCCCAAACACATACACTTTCATGAACTTTTGCCATCAAATTAAAAAGAACTTACTGAATACTTGTATTCAATATACAAGGCAATGATAGTGGGGCTGAGATATAAAATGATCATCTATTCTCTACAAGTACTTGATGGACAGGAAATTCTATGGGGACTACACGGGCGGGCGGGGGGGGTGTGGGGAAGCAGATATTGTTTTTTTTTTTTTTTTAATCTTGAATTTTATTTTTATATTCCCCCATACAATTGCAAACGCCCCATTCTGACCCCAATCCTTCCCCTCCCGCCCCCCACCCCCCAAAAAGTGTCTCTGGTTCATAGTTTTTTGTTGATTTTGATTTTCACTTTCTTATATTCATTTTCCTGGTCCCTTATTTAAGTTTTCTAGATTCCTGCTATGAGTGAGACCATCCAGTATTTTTCTTTTTCTTTTTGGCTTATTTCGCTGAGCATGATCCCTTCCAGCGCCATCCATGTTGCTGCAAATTGCATGTGTTTATCTTTTTTGAATGCTGAGTAATATTCCATGGTATATATGTACCACATCTTCTTGATCCAGTCATCTACTTTTGGGCATTTGGGTTGTTTCCAAAGCTTAGCTATTGTAAACAGTGCTGCTATAAACATAGGGGTGCAGGTGCTCTTTGGAATTGATGTTTCTGTGTCCTTTGGGTAAATACCTAGGAGTGGAATTGCTGGATCATATGGAAGCTCTATGTTTAGTAGGTCCAGAAATCTCCACACAGCTCTCCATAGTGGTTGGACCAGTTGGGAAGCAGATATTGTTTAAAAATGAACATGGGGCCTCCCCGGTGGCCCAGCGGTTGAGCGCTGGGTTGCTAAGCTGCCTGCGGACTTTGCAGCGCCGGTTAGATCTCCGGCTGCTCCCCGGCCACTGGAGGAGGGTCCCACATGGCGCGCAGACCTCTCCTGCCGCCCGCTGCTCCCCTCAGCAGTGTACATCGGTCCTTCAGCCTGCTCTGCTCCCCGGTCTGGCTCTGGTGAATTCTCTCACCCTCCCGCGCTTCTGACTGTACCCAGTGCATGTACAAACAAACAAATAAACAAAATAAATAAATAAATAAAAATACATGCTTCTTTAAAAATAAATAAAAAATAAAAATGAACATGGACAATGATGTAAAAAAAATTAAAAAGTAAAAAAAAAAAAGGAGTCCACATTCTACTAGTGCTATGTCTCAGGACAATTGAGTTTGTCATTCAGTTTCTGACATTTCAGGTCATAAGTGATTTATTTATCAACTCAATAAAAATTTAGGGAACATGTTTTTTTTTAAAAAAAAAAGTCTCCTTCTCCCACCTGAAGCAGAAGCTGCTAACCAAACACAGAGAAAGAACTATATGGTAGGGTACCAGGGGCTTCACTGTGATGACATAAGTCTATCAAGGGATGCAAAAGGTAGCTTACACATTGAGGTGAATTAAGAAGCTTCAAACAGCTCCAGTTCCATAAAAACAAGTGCATTCCTTACACCCAGTGCAGCTGCACCTATTCTCCCCCAAATCTTTAACAATAGCAGCAAAGAGGGGCTTGAAAAGGTGGGGTGGTGGATGATTATTTCTAAATAAAACAAGTAGCTTTCTCCAAAGCTTGGCAATCAGCTACAAAAAAACTAAAGTGCTTTTAAATGTTCGACTGAATCATAGGAGCATTTGAAACTATGGCAGAAATTAAATTACTTAAAGAAATTAATGCAAAATGGTTGCTACAATCTTTTGTACAATTTAATTTATAGTTTGCATAAATAATTATATTCATTCATTTTCTCTATTTCTTTTTTACCTTGTCCTTCTGGAGTTTCACCAAAGGGATTCACTTCCACCTGAGTAGCATCAACTTTCAGGAAGAGATTATACAGCTTCTTAATTTGATCTGCAGCCTAAACATGATCAAGTAAAATTAAATTACATGAAAACAGTAAAATTTATTTTGTTGAATTAATGAAATCTTATAAATAACAAGTGAAATATTTATTTTTAGTTCAGTTTTCTAAAGAAAAACAGAGAAGCATATTCCTTGTAATTTCTACTGCTATTCATTAAAAGCAATTGCTCAAATTTCCTCCAGACACCAGAAAAGACCATAATCAAGAAAATATTTGCAATATAGACTAAAAATTTTAATCTTTTTGTAAATTATCATGTCATTATTAGCCGAGTATAAACTACAATCATTAATACAAACAATCTCCACTTAAGCAAAAGGTAAACATGATTTTGAGAATTTACAATGACGACTACATTGTTCCTTATTATACTGAAATGAAACAGTTATTATATTCATCAGTCCAAACATACAATCTGAGAAACAATTACTGAGTGTCTAATATAAATTGTTGCAAATCAAGAAGATGCAAATCCTAAATAGCACAGTTACTGAAAAGCACAGTTCAAATGAAAAATACTTTGTCCTAAAAGCTAAAAACCATTAAAAGCAAGAAAAGCCAAAGTTTCCCTGATGTTACACACCCCAACTTCATTTTCCCACTCTGCTTATAATTCATTTATTCATTTTGTTCAAAACAGAATTATTAAAATTTCCTATGCCACAACAAGTTGGCATCTTGTGAGCTGGTGGTGGGAAAGACATCATAAATGAGACATGCCTCCTAGAAGACCTTTGCATAGCTACAGTGAACTCAACATGGGATGCAAAAGAGCAAATTGAAGTCATGGCTGAATGCTGGGTACCAGTCTTATTCTTCATTCAATCTTATTTCCTGGCCATGGTTTTCCCTCTGCCACATTTTTGCTTATTTTTGCTCATATTTTGCTCCAGCTCTTCAGTATTTGCCCCCACGTCTATTTCTAGCTTTTACCTATGACTGCTTCTGAATGCCAGGGGAGTTGCCACTTGCAGGCTGACTTTACAAGCTTCCTGGGCCAGATTGCTCCCAACTCAGTTCAGTCAATGGCAAGCCACAGTAGGAGATAGGAGGTGTGTGGAAAGGAAAAGCTGGGTTATCTCTACCCCTTTCTGCATTGGCAGAATCTCTTCTGATGGTTTCACCTCCCACCAGATAAGTCTGCCAGGGCTCCAGCTTCTGTATCCTAAGCAAGGTCCAATAGCACCAGTCTCATCTTGTTTCTGGAACATGCAAGCAGTAGCAATTTCCTATTGGCATTTAGTTCTTGTTGCCTCTCTGTGTACTCTTTCTTTTTTTTTTAAGATTTATTTATTTATACAAGAACTGTAGTACAGGTCAGAGATGCAGGAGGGTGAGAATTCACCAGAGACAAAGCAGAGAGCAGAACAGGCAGACAACCGTAAAACAATGCTGAGGGGAGCAGCGGGCATGACAGGAGAGGTCTGCCACGCCATGTGGGTACCTCCCTGGACGGCCGGGAATTGATCCTGTGCTGCAGAGGCTCTGGACAGCTTCACAGTGCTGCGCTCAACCCACTGCGCCACCAGGGAGGCCCTCTCTGTCTACTCTTACACTTCTCAGCTCTTGGAGCGCACATGTAACCAACTCTCTAGAATAAAATCACACTGCTGAAAATACTGAGCGCAGTTTGTTTGTTCTAATATTGACTGAAGAACTCCTGAGTATGAAATTCACATTATCCTAATTTATTGTCCATATAATTATGAGCTTCTTTCAATCCCAATTTGAAACCCATTAGACATAAGTAGGTAAATATACATAGTAAGAACATATTTTAATATTTTTTTGTGGTTAGGTAATTCATGTACCTACCACAATCCCCAAGGCACACTAAGGTCTCCCCTCAGAACCCTTACCAACTCCTAAATCCCCTTGTATCCAGTTTTTCACCTCCCAAAACTAAATTACCATTTGGTATTAAGAGATATTCCATGATATGCAAATAGGTAGTCTTTTTTTTTTTCATTGTTCTTAAAAAACAAAACTTGGTTCTATACCTCATTTCTTTATTAATAGATTTTTAGAGTCTTCATTCAAGACACTAGAGCAATGTTATTCTTTTAAAGGGTTACATAATATTTTATTGTATCAGTGTATATTTATTTAGTCTCCATAGGTTCCTATTACGTAAAATGTTGCCATAACTATCTTCACATATAAATCATACATGTGATTAAATATCTGTAAGATAAATTTCATAGCTTGGAGCAAAAAAGAGGTGTGGCCACTTAAAATCAAAGAAGATTATGGTCAACTGTTCTTGGTAGAAACTGTCCCTAATTTCCCCTTCCAAGAATCAGTATCAGGGATTAGTTTTCTAAATACAACTATCAGCTATCTGGATCTTTACCAATGTGTTAGGTGAAAATGTGTATTTTGTACACAATTCTAATTTGAATTTCTCATTATGAGTGTGAACATTATTTTATGAGTTTGTGAGACATTTGTCTTCCCTCTTCTACGAATTTTGCCCATTTTCCGCTAAAGGTTTTTTTCTTTTTCTTATTAATTTATAAGAAGTATTTTAAACATGAAGGAAATGAGCTCTTTATCTCACATAAATTAATAATTATTTTTCTCCCATAACATTTATCTTTTGCCCATGTTTTTGTTATTTCTACCAATGGAATTTTGCTAACAATAATTTTAATGTTTTCTTCCATTGCTTCTAGATTTGTATCCAACCTTAAAAAATCTGGTTACACTCAGAATTCAAAAGAATTCTCCCACTGTATTTCAAGTAATCTAAGATTTCCTTTAACACTTATTTAATCCAAATGGAATGTATTTGAATAGAGTATAAAGTTAATAAATAACTCACTCTTGATTTTTTGTTTGTTTTGGGGTTTTCTAGGTTGTCAATATGAGCTTGCAATGTGAGCTGTGTAGGGACCAGCATCTCCCCAACATGGCATCAATAGTAAGTACTAGTGATCGAGCTTCTGGGGCCTCCCTGGAGGCATAGCAGTTAAGTCTCAGTGCTATCACCACTATGGCTTGAGTTCAATAGCAGGCCAGTTTGCTAACCCACATATGGCCCAGAAGACCTCTCTTGTCTCACCCACTGCTCCCCTTAGCAGTGTATTTCAGGAGATCCATCTGTTGTGCTCCCCACTCTGCCTCTGATGAATCCTCTCACTCTCACACCTCTGGCCTATACCCCAGTTCTTGTACACAAAAATAAAGGGGAAAAAAAGTACTTACAAGCTTCTACAGAACTTAGTAAATAATGCTTGAATTATTGATTAATAATGAGAAACTATATGATAGAAATAACCTTTGGATTATTTCTACTGCACACTATAAAATCTTATCTGAGCTACTTTAAATCTTTCTTTTTCTTTAAATACACCTAACATAAAATTCACCATCTCAAATATTTTTAAGGGTACAGTTCAGCAGTATCAGGTATATTCACATTGGTGTGCATCCAAACTTTAATCCTTTAAAAGAGACTATGCCCATTAACTAACAACTCCCTATTCAGCTCTTACTAGTTCCTGATACCCACCTTTCTGTTTTCATTCACTTTGACTTTCATTATTCTACATGTGTCAAATAAGTGAAATCTTACATATTTGTCTTTTGTGACAGCTAATTTCATTTAGCACAATATCCTCAAGGCTCAGTCATGCTGATGCACATGTCAGAATTACTCTCCCTCCTCTTTAAGACTGAAAAACCTCCCATTATCTGCATGTACTGCATTTTATTTATTCATTCATTCATCAATGTACACCTGGCTCTCTTCCAAACTTAAGACTTCATCAACCTAACTTCCCATGAATCTAAAATTTCTGCATATTAATGCTTTGTAATTACAGTAGCCCCCCATTATTTTGAGGTTTCACTTTCCATGGTTGCAGTTAAACTGTGGTCAACCTTAGTCTGAAAATATTACATATAATGAGAGAGAATCCTCTGACTTCTATTATGATATTTTTATCATTTTCTGTTTTATTATTAATTGTTTTTACACTCTTAATGCAAAACGGTCTTTATCATAGGTATGCTATATATAGGAAAAAACATACTACATTTAGTATTTGGTACTATCTAGTTCCATCGGAAATACCCGTGTGGATAAAGGGGAACTAACACATATATTACATAGCATTTGGGGGGACAGTTACTATTGTTTTTTATTGCTGTATAAAAATGAACTATAAGCATTTTCAGAGCAGGGTTGAAGCATGATTATTTGTATACTATAGACCTATAAGGAATACATGTTTAAAAATCTATGATGTAAGATATGCAAGGGAGACCCAGCCAGGTTTAGAGACAGTATGTTCCTTAATTTTATTCCAGAGGCAATAGACTAAATGACTGAAAATCTGACCATGAATAACAATAGGAAATGACAAGCCTGTAGGATGTTGAGGTTAGTTCCCTCGTTTTCTAATGCATTCAAATTTTAAAAATTAATTAAAATAGGTCAAAGAAAGCATTCTGATTGGTAATTTACAGCCTGCCAGTTTGCTATTGCCACCTTCTACTTCTGTTTATAACCACAGTCCACAGAACACTTTTTTTCTTTTCTTTTATCAAATTTGGTTATAAGTAATTATAAAACATAAAATGCTAAAATCAAATATCCTTGGGAAACTATGCATGAACCCCTGACAAGTTTAAAAATATCTTTAAACAATGTTTTAACACGTTAAAATTTTCTGAATTTCAAGAACTAGTATCAATAATTAAGGTTCATAACGCTAGCAAGAGACAACTGCCTGAAGTTGTAGTGAACTAGTGTTAACTTGCCCCATCAGATTATCCCTCAGCTTTAATTCTAAAAGAATGTGTTGATAATTCATGTGTCTATATTTTAAAAATTAATAGCATAGACAATAATTAAGACAGACTGAAGAATCTTGTGAACTTTCAGTCATATTCAGCTTTCCGGTGGCTTTAGTAATTTTTTAAAATTTTTTAAAACATCCTTGTTTGTTTTCACAATATAAGATTTCACCGCTCAGGTGTAGTCACCATAGTTTTCCCACCACCAAATCTGCCAGAGTCCACTGTGCTCTCCTTCCCCTCTGCTACTCCCCATTCTTTCTGAAAGTCTCAGATCTACTGTCTACTTTCAAGGGTTGCAGAGAGTTTGTCTTTGATCCTTTGTGTGGTTTCTCTAGAGTCTTTTGTCTTCTCAATAAATTTTGGGGGTGAAAGGCATTTTTGTCAGGAACACATTTTAGAAATTTTTATTCAAGGTGATACTTATTTTTTTGTTAGGTCTAATATAAATACATCCCATTTTAGAGAAAACTGGCATGAGTCAAAAGAAAGATATTAATAATTTTACAAGGTAATTAGCTTGTCTGTTGTTCATACAGGAAGGAGGTGCCTCCAAATGCTTAAACTATGTCGTAGGTGAAAAATAAGTAATTTTCAAGGTCACATTGAATTTAAGGAACCTATTTACCATTTCTTGATGAAAGGATCAAAATCAATGAGTAGTTAAATGTTTTCTCTTATCAGGTGTGTCCTCTCACCGTACCCTGGCTTTCTAAAACATTTTATCTGATCCACATGGCTTGAGGGAATGATTCCTAAATCTCAAACTCAAATGCAGTTCTCCCTGAGCTCCCCTCTACTGTACAATCATTGTCCCTATGTGAACATCTACCACTGAGATGCCCCACATTCTCTCTCCTTCACATTCCCTCTTCCTGTACTGGCTACCGGCACTGATCACTGCTCTGTGAGCCCGTGGAGACAAGTGGCTACTACCCATTACCCTTTTAACGCAGGGTCCAGCAGAGTGAACAGCCCCTGGTCAGTGCTCACTCCAACTTTACTGAGCAAATGAAGATTCAAAGTTTTTCATATAGTCAGCAGTAGAAAAAAGGAGGAAGAAAGAAATTAAAAATTGTCTTGCCTTTCTTCAATACATTATGCTAAAAATGATTATAATGCAGCAAACTAAAGACTCCGGACAATCTACACATTCATTTTCCTTCCATAGCTGATTCACTTCAAGAGTGTTTGGCGTACTGGGAAAACACGACTCAGTCATTTGAGAGCTATAGTAACTGTTAATTTCCCTTATATATTGGGGAGCAGTGTCTTCTGATGTATACTTGATTGCACTCTCTAGAACTCTGTTGTTTATCTCCTGAGCTTTTAAATCATGTGGTGAGCATTTGCACACTGCTGCCATTTACAGCTCATATTGCTGACACCCTAGGAATCTCTGTGAAGTGGACATCTATGTGTTGTTTCACTTATTCACACATGTGAGAGATGCCTCTTGGGGACCTAATATAGCTGCCAAATACTGTGTCAGCTACACAGCAATGAGCAAGATGGACAAAGTGCTTCCAGTGGTGCATATTAAGATCCAGAAAGGTGACTGCAAGTGACTAAGAGAAATTCAGATGTGCAAAGGAATATGCAGTATGTCTACAGGGTTATTGGACACATTTTGAAGCTGACTATGGACCAGAGTACCTAAAACACAGTGACTATATGGGCTAGTAGCCCTCAGTGACCATCACTCCTATACAAGAAACTCCTTAATAAATGTCAAATGAACAGCAAATGTATTTAGTGTCCTCATTCTCAGGAGGATAAACCAATCACAGCAGCCCTTAACCAGAAATCATCCATTATTTTCTTTTCTCCAGATGATGACCCTCTTATCTCTTTGGCAGCCTCAGAAAAAAATAAAAAATAAAAAATCATTCTTCTAATAATCCACTGATTCCTACTTCTAACTTGTTGAGGTTTAATCTCAGATGATCTAATATCCTTCTATTATCTGGAGTCTTTTGCTTTCCTAGGGAAATCTTTCGCTTTCTTCACATCTTCAAGTAAGTGCTGCCCTCTCTTAATGCACATGTTTTTTAAAATCTTATTCTGCTTCATCTTATGTGACTTGATAGAATCAATCAAAAGAAATATATAGGCAAAAAAGAGTACACAATCTATTGTTTTATTAAAGGAGTGCTGCCAAACTGAATTAAAGAAAATGCTCTATGTCCATCCTGGAGTCCTAGGGGAACACACATACACAGGATCTAGAGTTATTAAGGTGGCTTCTCATAGTTTAATAGGAGACGAAAAAACAGCCAGGAAATTCTGATTTAGCTGTGAGAGAAGTTATCTATGTAGACATACAATCAGGCCCCATGGATTGGAAAGGGCAGTACATGACTGTGAAACTCCAGCTACTTTGCAACAGCCTGAAGGACACATTTTCTGTCTTTGCAACCAATGGATATAATTACTAAATTGGCATATTTTAAGTTATTTCAATAAAACATCACCAACCTTTGTGCCATTAATATTCATTCTCAAATGCCCATTAGCTTGAAAAAATAGCAATTAGTTATGTACATTGTTAATGACAATATCTAACCTTTCTGAATTACTGAATAAGCACATTCAGTATCTTCATTCTTAATCCTCACAATAACTCTCTAAGTCAAGATTTCATTAGCTCCATTTTACAGATCATTAAACTGATTTTCAGATGGGAGGAGTCACACTCCTCCTGGATAGCAGACCAGGATTCGAACTCAGGACTGTCTGACTTCACAGGCTGTGCTTCCAAGTACTAAGCCATATCTTATAATTCATGAAATACAGCTGAAATGCCACCAAAAAAATAAACTAACAAAAAAAATACTTGTCTGCATGTGACACTCACATAAACACAAGTCATAAACATCCTCCTTTGCAATACCAAAGAAATGTTTCTCATTATCATAATAACTGGAAGAAAAAAAACTTATAAAACAAAAAATAATCCTGTATCGTGGTAATCAAAACATTAGATGCAACTAAGCACGTTCCCAAATGTCTTCTAAAACAAGTCAGGCACACTGGCCTCCAATCATTCAAGTACCTGATTTTTCAAAGGCCCAAGGAAGCCTAGATTCTCTGCCATCCGCTGAGCTTGACTGTCCTTTATCCCTTCAATAATGTCAATTTGTTCCTAGTAAAAATGAATCAAATAAACAAAATTTAGACCTTCAAGTGAGAGAATTTACAACCTCAAAAGAAAATGCTTGGTATTTTATTTGCAAACGAGTAATTAAAGTGTGGCATCTTCCCAGAGATCTCTGAGGAGGACACTGCAGCTGCCTGTAGGGTATGTTTTAATTAGCAGACCATCTACAAAACAGTCTTTCTAAAACCTATATTTCTTCACGGTGGCATCCTGACAAGACAAATGGATGCCAGTTTTCACTTTTAATTACCATACAGATGGCATTGACGAATATTTAGACAGTAAATTTTTATGACATTTTTTGGAAGCTTTCCAAAATAAGGGTTTCGCCTAGTCTCGTGGCTTAGAGCTCCCCAAATATACGTTAAACATTAACTTATGTTTAAATCATTCTACTGATAATGGTAATTAATAACAACACCCTAGCTCTACAAAGTATCATACTATCAAAGATACTGACCTTGGCATATACATTATCAAGTATTCTCTTGCAAATGGAATGGCTTGTTTAATCATATATTAAAATAATATGAAAATAACAAGATTTAGAACAAGCTATTCCATTTGTAAGAAAATAAATGATTAATAATGTTATTGTTGGAAAATTAGCATGTAAAGTCTCAATTTAATTTCCCAGGTAGTTATCTTAAATATATAACACCGGTAAAAATATTTTCAAACTAATAACCAAAGCACCTTACTAAACTGGTAAGTTCAAGAAATAAAATTATCACTTTTAAAGGGAAAATTCTAGGGCCTCCCCAGTGGCGCAGCGGTAGATCGCTGGGTTGCAAAGCTGCCTGCAGCCTCTGCAGCGCCGGATCCCCGGCTGCTCCCTGGCCACAGGAGGAGGGTCCCACATGGGGCGCAGACCTCTCCTGCCGGCCCACTGCTCCCCTCAGCAGTGTACTTCGGTCCTTCTGCCTGCTCTGCTCCCCGCTCTGGCTCTGGTGAATTCTCTCACCCTCCCGCACTTCTGACTGTACCCAGCGCTTGTATAAATAAATAAAAATCAAAAAATAAATTAAAAAAAATTTAAAAAAAAAATAAAGGGAAAATTCTAAAAGAAATAATGAATGTTTCATCTAGAAAATTTTCATGTGATTTTTGACATTAATAATTCAAGAAAACTGAAAATGTAGTTCTAAAGATCTTACATTTTTCTTTGTGCAACCAAAGTGGGTGAAGAAGCACTGTAGATACATCCCCCCATTTAATCCTCACAATCCTACCAGGTGGGAACTACTCCAATTTTTCATTCTACTGATTCAAAAAATGAAACTTAAGGGCAATAAGAAACTTTTTGGCTAATCAGAATTTGAACTCAGATCTCTTTTACTAAAAACTAGATTTAATATCAATAAAAGCTAGAAGATTGCAAGGATTGAAACAAAGTGATAGAATCTGGATTATATAAGGATTTTACTTTACATCAGTAGTATTAAGAAATTTCAAGGTAGCCTCCAATTCACATGTGGTTTCCTCGCAGAGAATTTCTGCATCACATATGCAGTCAGATGGGGCAAAGTTAACCAAGAATGAATAGAAATATCACAGTTCTCTCCCATTTGTTAATTCTTGGGCCAGGTGGAATAGAAAGAAATATAAGTAAAAAGGCAGGAAAAATGGAAGGAAAGGAGGTTAAAAAGCAAAAAAAAAACACTGAAGAGTAAACACCTTGGTTCTACTTGATGTTCACTGGAATTTTTTAAGAAAAAGAATTCAGCTTTGTCATGCCTTAAATTCCAGAAATAGACATACTGCTACCAGCCTCAGACTCCACATTAAATCTTAAACAGTTTCTACAACAACTATCAATGACCGAAGTATACATAGAAATCTAAACATACCTTAAAAATAAGTTCTGGATTTGAAGCTGCTACTTCTTCAATGTCAACGCCCCCCTGAGGGCTGCCCACCATTACTGGACCATTGCAACTTCTGTCCATCAGAATCGCCAAATAGGTTTCTCTGGAAATGTCCAAAGCTTCAGCAACCATCACCTACCACATTATTGAGAAAGTCAAATTAATTCAGCATCAAACTGGTTGCAACTTGAAAATCTATACAAACTTTCTACACAAATCAAACAGTTTCATTTCAGGCTCTTTTAAACCCAGTGAGTTAACTTCAGAGATTTGACAGTTCTGCTCTCATGGTTGCCCAATGCCCATTTTCATCTTCTTAATTGATCTTCTTAACTTGTTGAAGTGACAGGTTTGCCTCAAGGAACCTTCCTACTTTAATCTCTCTTTTTACCTTGAAAAACTGACACTTAAGAAAAACTCCATGGAGACAGCTATTATTTTAATTTGAAGCATTACAGTACATATGTATATATACTGATTTTTCTTCAATTGCACTGGTGGAAAACGAAGTATGATTGCCAAAGAATTCTTTTTACAGTATGTCTGATGCTTCATGTGTTCCTCTACTTCTGTCTCTTGGATCACTGTGATTTTATTTCAATTTATACTTTCTATTAAATTACAAACATAATGTTTGCTTGTTCAAAAATAACACAAATGATACCAAAGGAATATAAATAAGACTTTGAAAGAAGCCCCCTGCTGCACATACCCACGCCTTGGACTCCAGCAGTCACAGTGTTCTGAGCCCATATGGAGCCTTTGTGATCATTTGAAAATTGCCCCTTCTCTTAGAGAAGCAAGTCAAAAGCAAGGACCATAACAGAGCAAGTGGCAAGTGGGATGGAAGAATTTTATTCCCCACACTTGACCTCAGTTACATGTGCTTTTGCTGTTCCACACAGTCTCAGCAACTTTATGCAGCATCTACACCAGGAAAAACCATTACCAACTTTTTATGCTCTTTTCTATGTATCTGTAAATATTACAGTAATGGAATCATCTTGCACATGGACACATACTAAACAATCATGAAGGTCTTTTTCTTTTAATCTTACTATTACAACTTAGACATCTATCCAAGATCCCCTCTCACTCTTTCCAGTGTTACTATATGATAGTTACATGTCATTATTTATTTAATCATGACCCTATTGACATATCTCTAAAATGCTACTTTAGTGATTATTTCTGTACATGTATCTTTGCTCATTTGTTTTAGTATCCCTGTGGATAGCTACTTAGACATAAAATGGCTAAGGTTTTAGACTTTTCATATTTAAAATTTTGTCAAGTACCATCCAAATGCCCTGAGAGTTGGCTATGTCAACTAACACTCTCAACAAAAATGGTAAGAGAGGCCTTGGATGCTTTTTAAAAGAAAATAGGAATGCTTTTATAAATAATCAGTTCTAGAAGTGAGAATAATAAAAGCATTTACATTGCTTTTACTAAAAGTAGTTCAGTAACAGGTTTCTCCAAAAAAGAAAGTTGTGAATTAAATAGCATTAGATTTTAGCTACTCAGATACCACAAAATACTACATTTTAAGTCACATAAAATGGGATAAATAACATGATGATCTAAAAGACTATACTATAATGAATATAGAACTCCTTTGCAAACTTTTATGGAATGTATCACCAGTTAAAAATAAAATACTTTAGAAGGGGTTTCATGTTGATTCTTTTATCATAAATGGTAAAAGCTCATGAGTACATAAGAAATATTTCTTGGCACAGGGTGTTAGGATTATCATAGAACCACTGTAATTTTAAGTTCACTTTCTAATATAGAAATTGTCTAGTGAACAAAATATAATGACTTTCAGTAGTTATTCTTAGAAGTAACACAACATTGTAACTTTTAAGGATAAGTGTCATTCAAGAGTCCTATTCTTAATCTTCTAAAATGTTGACAGATGTGCTCTGCATTCCATCAAATTTCTACTTGCACCGACCAGCTGCTTTCTTGAACAGTTTCTGCTTAGTAGAAATAATATACCACTGTTGAAGAAAACATCTCCAGGAAAATGATGATTACACATAGATAATTCAAGAAATTTTATATAAAGACCAGTTTTTTGACTTTATTAGTCATATGAACCAGGCTGTCAGACACTTTTATGAATTATTATAAAGAATCTAAATGGACTCCATGAACACACATCACATAAAAAGCCCAGTTGATACAGTCCCAAAAACCTTAATCTATGATTGACAAAGAGTATCAACAAAGTCTGTGTAGAGTCCATCAGTAAAGAAAGAGCTTTATTTATTTTACCCAACTGAATCTACTTTTCTTTCTAACATCATGCTTTAAATTGTGGTCTATGGATGAGTACTACTGCACAAACTTTCTGTAATAGGACTATGATTAGATAAAACAAAGTAAGTTCAGTTTTCGAATTACCTACAGCAGAGCAGTAACCGTTACTGGCATTGGTCATGCAAGCATGTAGTTAGGAGCATTTTCTCATCTCCCAATGACTATTCCAGCAACACATCACAAACACATCGGCACAGAATAAAAAATGCATACATCCAATGTGTCTAAATGTACATGTGCATTTAAACAAATCCTAAGATAAACTAAGAAATCTAAAGTTTCTATAATACAGAAACTTCTGATGGATGTCAAAAATGCCATAAGTGAAAAATGCATTTTTTTGAAAGTGGTATATAACATTATTATTATAGAAACCTGATAATGATATTTTACACAGAGAAGGAGAGAAAAAATATGGGGAAATTATTTCTGGGAGGGTTAAAACAGGAAATTTTTTCTTTCTAATTTTTAAATTTCTATACTGTTGGAATTTTCAACACATTAATAACTTTTGCAATAAGAAAAAAACGTAATAAAAAATAAATCACTCTAGTAGTTTTCTGGCAATGACTCAATTTACAAGAATGCACTTATCTCCTTACAGGAACCTATCTACGAACTAATTTTATGCATTACTGTATAGTGTGAATCTGCTTTGCGAATTTTTATGTGCTTTTAAAACATACCACAAACTCTAATCTAAAATCCCAAGTGTCCATATAAAACAACAAATTCCTACAAACAAAAATACTAATCCTGTTCTCTGTAGACAAGTTTTGAAGAAGTTACACAGGTAAGAGCTCATAATCAGATTTAAAAGGGAAATAAATGTGCAGGGCCAGGCTGAACAAAAACATCAAAAAATACTTTTGTGTTTTAAACAGTTCTAGCATCTACCTAAGAGGCAACAAGAAAGGGACAAAACCATAACCATAACCAATTTTCTTTCTTTGCTTCTTCTACATTTAGAAAGTCTTGTATTCTGGAGTGAAGAAGCTAATGACCCTCAATATTCCAATTCTCCCAGCTCAGTATCCCTTGGGAGTAAAGACAGACCCTCTGAGCAAGGGTCCATTGGGAACCAACTACTGGTTTTTTTTTTTTTTTTTTTTAAGTCATGTCAAGAATTTTCCATAAAATTGCCTCAATGCCCTCAAACAAAGCAGACTAAGGGAGATCACTGCTCTGTAACACTATGTCAAAAAAGCAGGCCTGAAATGATACACCCTAATTCACTGATCTATGGTTATGGTGGAGCCTCTCACCACTGGTGGAGCCTCTCACCACCACGGGGGCCTTCCAGGCTGAGGGGATGAGCCCAATGTAGACACATAGCACCCATACTCTTGATATCTTAGTTTGAGCTTCTTTTGTAATTGACTTGCAATTTGAACATGGGTCCTGCATTTTTGTTTTGCACTGGGTCCTATAAATCAGGTAGTCAGTTCTGGCACTGGGAAGGGGGCTGGAGAAGGGGGACATAGCAAATATGAACAGACTAACAGGAAGGAGAGTCAGATCATGGACTCAGCTCTGCCACTCACAATCTCATAACTGAGGCAGGCCACTCTGCGTATTTTACCTGAGTGTGAGTGTGTGTGTGTGCATGTGTGTGAGTACACACATAAAGCACCTGTTATTTGCATCCCATATAATATATCCTTGGGTGTCCCAACAGACCTCAATGATACAACATACTCACAGCTATAACTATGATGCAAAATGGAAGTAATCTCAAAGGACACTTAAAAATAAAGACCACAGCAGGTAATTCTGATAGAAAGGATAAGGGTGATACTGTCGGGGAGCAGGCAATGTGCCTCTCTGAGTATAAAAGTGGTCATACTAAGCCCCATTCAGCTTAAACAGACCAGAATATATACGTTCTGAAGGTTAGTCACTCACCCTACCTACTGTTACTATATGCTGATGATAATAAAAATATGTCCACATAAAATTTTTTTTTTCTCCTCGAGGTCATATAGCACATACTAAACAGATTATATGAGGTTTAATAAATAAAATGGAACATCACCAAATACAATGCATCCTTAGATATCAAAACCAAAGTATGATTTTCTTTTCTTCTAACCACATAAAAAATGACCAAAAGCATTTTACCTTTTTAACTTTTACACCTTCTTTTGGAGTTTGTTTTGTGGCCAGATTATATCCAATCATCTGTTTTGCCAGTTGTTCTACAACTTTAGGGCTAAAAGGAAGGGGTGGGGGAAAAGAAGAGAAAGAAAAGAAAATCAATGCTTATGTTTAAAATCATTTGCATGCAGAGTCCATATTATGTTATCACATCCACCCTGCGTAGGATCTACCCTCAGCTTCACATGGTTCACAAGATTTTCTTCTCATATACTATGTATAGTAACAGAGACTCAGTGGGAGCAAAACATATGTGAATTGAAGGGAAGGAAAGGAGGAAAGAAAGGAAAGGAAGAAACACTTGTAATTTTCAACAATCATTTGAACTCATTCATTCATTCATTTCTAATCTGCTTACTTGAATTCGAGATCACAGGTGCTCAGAGTCCATCCTGGTAGCTCTGGGCGCAAGCAGAACCCGGCCCTAGACAGGAAGCCCTTCTTCCATGTGGAAACCTCACAGTCACTCCCACTGGGAAACTGAGACATACCAGCGACCCTTGTATGCACATCTGTGGGGTGAGAGAGTGTAGCCTGATCCCCCTCCATTTTGCAACAGAAAACACGACTAGATTAAAACTTCAGTATAAGTAGAATTAAAGTCTAACCACTGTACTGCATTCCCTATTCAGAACAATTAATGCACTAAATCACAATCCCTTATGAGAATTAACTGTTAACTCACTGAAATACACCCCTTATTCCTGTAACAGAAAAACGTTAATAAAAATAGGGGTTCCGTGTTCCCTGCCCCACCTTATGAAGGGTGGAGCTGAGCAGCGGGATGATGCTAGAAAAAATTTGGAGAAGAAACTTGGAGCTTGGAAGAAATACATGGAGCAGATCATATGGAGCCGCTTGGTCCAGGCTTCAGACTTGCACCAGGGAGCTGAGGGACATGGCAGGAAACAAGTGGAGTCAAGACATGCAGAGACTTGGGAGAGATACGTTCTGAGAGACCTGAGGGGAAGCTGACAGTGGCAACCTTTATCTTGATTTGTACTTTGATTTTGCTCCTTTGATCCCACACTTGTCTGTCCTCTTCTGCCCCTTTTCTGTGGTTCCTTGCCAGAAGGTGCTTTAAACTTGCAGCAAGCTTTTGGGCCTCAGCAGAGTTGGGGCAACTCTGTTTGCATTTACCCACAAGGGGGATGGATCATTTTGGGTGTTTCTTTGGGAAACTGTATTGCTTCTCTTCTTCCCTTTCTATGCATACTGAGCTATTAAAATTCTTACATACTAAGAAAATGCTTTGTCTTTGGGATGCATATGGCAGAACCATTTTGGAGGATATAAGTTTGGGGGTCCAGGGTGCTCCTCAGTCTGCAGTCTAACATTCCCTCCTTATGATTAACTGTTAACTCATTTCATCTGCACTCCTGGAAACTTGGAAAATTTCTTGTGTTATATCTCTAATAAATTCTCTGTGTTCCCCTGGGGTTGACAGAGGCATCAGAAACATCTGCTGACTGCTGAGAAAGTACCCTCTTGGGAAACTGAACACCTTCACTCCTGCCCCTTAGGCTGCATGGCACCTCCTGTGGCCTGGATGTGTGAAGCCCTACACTTCCTTTACAATCCTCAGCCCTTTATAAAATCCTAGTACTCCATCCATCCAGGGAGCAAGTTGTTTTGGTGTACCTGCCCACTGACTCCCTTGATGCCCATCCCAAATTTAACCCCTTCATGTAAAGATATTCTTTTGATTCAGGTTTGGCTCTATGGGCATAAGGCAAAGACCTAGTTTGGTCATTTATTTTTTTTTATTTTTTAATGCATACTTTCTTTTTTTTTTTTAAGATTTATTTATTTATTTATACAAGCACTGGGTACAGTCAGAAGCGCAGGAGGGTGAGAGAATTCACCAGAGCCATAGAGGGGAACAGAACAGGCAGACTGACGAAATACACTGCTGAGTGTAGCAGCGGGCAGGCAGGAAAGGTCTGTCGCGCCATGTGGGACCCTCGCCAGCGGCCAGGGATTGAACTGGCTCTGCAGAGGCTGCGGACAGCTTTGCAGCCCAGCGCTCAACTGCTGCGCCACCAGGGGAGGCCCAGTTCGGTCCTTTATTAACAGGAGGAAACCTGAGTCCTCGAAAAAACCCACCCACGGGAGGAAGAACTTGAAAATTCCAAATAGTGGCCCTGGTTGAGCCAGGAATAAGGCTGAACAGAGAGATGTTATTTGAGGGCCTGCTGTATTGTCCTTGAGGGGCTATGGAATGTGTAAGAGTGAAAGTAAATAATGAAACATACATGAGAGAGAGGGGAGGAATGTGCTAATGCTGGAAGACATGGGAAATACAGCTGAAAAGACAGATTCAGAGAAGGAAGGCTTGGATTAACAGGCGAGGAAGGGTGACCGAGGCCCCTGGAAATGGGAACCAGTGGAGTTTCTTGAATGAGGGGATGATGTTATGGAAGCAGCACGGAATTTCCAACAGTATCATTTCCAACATTTATAATGATTCATTGATGATCAAGGAAACAAATATCAAATTTTCACCAAAGTAGTGAAGAAAAATTTGGGGGAGAGCAGAAGAAATACGGGAGCATTGTGTGAACACTGTATCTATCATTTGTTTTTTCTACTTGCAATCTGCTACTTCCACACCCACCCCGTTATTCGTTCTCAGTGCTCCTTTCATTCATGAGCAAGACCTTCCATAATTGCTCAGCCCAAAGATAAGGGTTTAAGACTTACTCTTTCGTTAAATGAACACCTCCTTTCAAACCACTACTGAAGACTCCTTTTCCTCTTCCTCCAGCTAAGATCTGGGCTTTTAAAACAATTTCCTTTGCATCTGAAAAAGAAAATGCAAAGAGGGGAATTGACTTTATGTTCTTTTGTTTTCTTTTTTAAAAGAACAAGGTAAGTGGTAATGACATAATTTCCAAAAGTGATAAACAATCTCTCAAACCAACTTTGAAAATGAAGACAAAAAAGAACTTTAAAAACATATTGTTTCACATTAATTAATCAATTGCTTTAGATGAAATTTTAAAAAAATCGATGTACTTAAATATACAGTCTGTTTTTTGAGGGCATTCAAGTATTTCCTACCAGTATTCTCTAGTACTCAGCCATCTCAAGGGAAAGCATGACATGTTCTTTTGAGTGTCAAAAGATGTAGATAAATCCAGGCCAGAGATATTAATTTTACTGTGTAATGATATCCCCAAGTGGCAGAGATACCAACCTGCCAGTCAGAGGAGCAAACTACCTGTCAGCCATCTGAGATGTCAAAGGCAAGACTAGATTACATGGGAGGGAGTTTTAAAGAAGAGATGTATAGGGAGTATTTAATAATTGCATTCTTAGAAACCAATAGTTTTCTGAGCAGTTGTTCTATATATTTCTAGGGCTGAGTAAGGGAGAAAGCAATGCATTGTAACTAAAAGAATAGTTTTTAAATCTTAGCAGGGTAACAAAACATTTCAAGGAAAGTGCTTGTGGAATCTTCATTTCTCAACACCTCTGGAAAGAGTAAACTGACCTGAGATCTGAGTCACTAAATTCAAATATCTTAACGGATCTGGAAGGGAAGCTGGGTGTATGAAACATGACAGAGATGGGACCTTCAGCAAATAGGGCAGTTCCCCTCCTCTACCACCAAAGAAAAAAAAGAAAAAAATATGAGCATTTAAGTTTTCTGGCTTAGCACACCAGGTTTAGAACCCAGAGCCCCAGTTTCAACACAGTCTTCATCCCTACCCAGTTGGGTGGCATTCAACAAGTTATGTACTATCTTTGAGACTCACTATGCACAATTATGAAATGATGATAAGGGAGTTGTGTTAAGGAATTAAATGAGATAATATATGTGAATATTTTATTCCAGGAGCCTGAAAATTCACAATTGAAGACTACTGCCATGATCAATTAGTTCATTAATAGCCTTCATATCTTGTAAAGAATCAAAGGATGACTTCCACTTCGGAAGAAACGATTTAATAAATAAACAGTGGTTTGTATCTGCTGCCATTCATGTAGGGTGACAGGCCCATAAATAATGGATATTCAGCTATCACTGTCCTGTCATTGTTACTCATAGTCAAGCAAGCAAAGGTTCAAACAAAATGGCCAAGGAAGGTTTAATCATGTAAGCAATGGAGAACTATAGAAGGATTTGACCTATTAGGTAAAACAATCACCTCAGCCGATGCAGACAACATTAAGGTTCATTGCCCATATTGATTGCTCTTCCTTTCTCCTAGATTGTCTCACACTCAGAAAACCAGGGTTCGCCTTCTCTCAGAAGCAAACACGGTACCTTCTTTGCCATCCTCTGTACCTTCTAGCAATAGCTTCTGCCCCAGATATAAACCATCGTAACAGAGTGAAACCTTAACTTACAATAAACCGATTTTCATAAAACTGAGTAGAAGACAAGCTATTATGATTATTCATTATCAGAACCTCAACAGGAAAGGAAGTAAGTAAAATAAACATATTGCATATTTAGATTACTGAATGTAATAGTAGTGTAAGTAAGGATCAGAATTTTTTTTTTAAAGATTTATTTATTTATTTATTTATACAAGCACTGGGTACAGTCAGAAGCGCGGGAGGGTGAGAGGATTCACCAGAGCCAGAGCAGGGAACAGAACAGGCAGACTGACCAAAGTACACTGCTGAGGGGAGCAGCGGGTGTGGCAGGAGAGGTCTGCGTGCCATGTGGGACCCTTGTCGGGGATCAAACTGGCGCTGCAGAGACTGCGGGCAGCTTCGCAGCCCAGGGCTTAACCGCTGTGCCACCAGGGGAGGCCCAAGGATCAGAATTTAAACAAACCTGATTTAAAATTTCTAACTCCACTTCCAATCACTTTCTTTGCAGAGAAGGCTGAGATTCAGAAAAAGAAAAGCTGCATACTTGTCTTTAAAATGGTCAAGCAAAGTAATCTATAGTATTAGAATAGTGTGAAGAATAAATGAAATATAATAGGTAAAGTGCTTATCTCAATGCCTGGCCTATTAAAAGGAGTCAAAATATGATAGCTATTATCATGATGATTTTCAGCAATTAATTTTTTAAAACTGGCATATAGGGAGACATTTCCTATTTCTCTTTGGAAGACATTAATGGAAAACTACTTTTTGCTGTGTACTCAAAATTTTAATTGTGATCATTTCAAATTCTTTAAAAAGGATAACCAGCATTCCACTGCCATCATCATTTTTCATATGCTTGTCATCCAGAAAAAAAAAAAGAAATGCTTTTCTTTCCAAACTTTAAAGCAGCTAAACTTGAAAGTCAGACAGAATCCCTAATTGGGCATTGTTAATTGGCACTGCATAGGTTTGATGAGGTAGGCATTAACTATCAGGCATTAACTATCAGGACAACTAACTATAGGCATTAACTATCAGGACAAAGAAATAGCTGTAACCTCAAGGAAATGTTGTCAAGTCGATGTTGCACCATTTGACCAAATGTCAAAGGATTCTATGATATCCAGCTGGTAAAACAAGCAACCGCTTCAGAGACTATGAAGTCATATATATCAGGGCAAACAGAAAAAGAAAGAAACAGACTATGTTCAACCTAGATACATCTTCTGCCACTTAAACAACAGGCCAAAATAAGATTACTAAAATCTCAAATGCTAAAGCAGTATAGCATGACAGGAGCCCTAAGTAAAGCAAGTTTTTCAGATCTTGAGGAAAACTCACATGATGTAATTTAATTTAATAGCTATCTACTTAAAGTGTTGAACATCAAATAGCCTAATCTTGCTGAACAGTAGAAAGACTTTTCATTCAGTATCAACTAAGTGTATTCATACTTAATGTCACTGTCTCCATTTTACTCATAGATCTGATTTCTTAAAAAAAAAATACACAAATTTATAGGGGTTGGGGGGGGCAATGGATTTTTGTGGGTTGTTTTGGCTTTTTTAATATTATTTTCCTACTCCTATTCCCAAACAGAACTACAAAAGATTACCCCAACTTTTGTTGGAAAACATATAATGATTTAACCATACTTCCAGATTAGCTAAAAAACAAACAAAAACAAAAAACACAGAGCTAAGGAGAACACCTACTCTAATAGATTTTGCATGGAAAGAGAATTCAACTATACACTGATAATCAAATTCTGAGTTGGAATAACCCAGGTTGTATAATTCCAAATTCCTTGCTCTTAACACTACTCTTACATGCAGTAGCCTAGATATGAAATATATTCACTTTATATTGCTCCTTTCCTGCTGAATTTTTGACAATGAGCACTGTTCATGGCTAGGATTCCACTTGGCTTAATGGAAACCAGTTTATTGTAACTTACATTTATTTTATGTAAAATGCACTGGAAGAGATATTTTTGATAAATTTGTAACAGGGAAGACTCTGAAATACCCTATCACTTAAAACAATTCTTACGGCCACTTCGAAAGCCATGAACATCTTCTACTCTTATTAACTTCATTAAAATATGTTTTCTCAAACATTCCCTTTCTCGTTCTTTAACACAAGTGTTATAGCAATACAATACAATAATTTGGTTTTATACCTATTTTATAGGCCTCTTAATCCCATGCTAATAATAAACATTCTTAGAAGCATTATCAAATCTAAAAGTTAAAATATTAAATTAATTAAGGAAGTCATAACTAAACGACATAATTTTTTTTTAATTAGGCAAGCTTTGTAAAACTAGTTCACTTTGTTTTTTAGAAATGACATTCTGAAGGGCCTCCCCTGGTGGCACAGCGGTTGAGCGCTGGGCTGAGAGGCCGCCCGCAGTCTCTGCAGCGCTGGTTCATTCCCTGGCTGCCGGTGAGGGTTCCACAAAAAAAAAAAAAAAAAGAAAGAAATGACGTTCTGAAAACACATTAATGCAAAATAATGTTCACAAGACATAGTTCAAATCCACAATGCAAAAGAACCACGGTAAATGTCTGAAAATGTTCATCAGGAATGTTTATCAAATATCAGTTAGAATGTCATTTTCAACTATTTTTTTAAAACAGCCTAGTGATAATGAAATATTTGTATTATTGAACTGATTTTTATTTGGCATTGTTCTCTTAAAAATACAATACTTTTGGGCCTCCCCTGGTGGCGCAGCGGTTGAGCGCTGGGCTGCGAAGCTGCCCGCAGCCTCTGCAGCGCTGGTTCCATCCCTGGCCGCTGGCAAGGGTCCCACATGGTGCGCGGACCTGTCTTGTCGCATCTGCTCCTCCCCTCAGCAGTGTATTTCATCGGCCTGCCTATTCTGTTCCCTGCTCTGGCTCTGGTGAATTCTCTCACCCTCCCGCGCTTCTGACTGTACCCAGTGCATGTATAAATAAATAAATAAATCTTTAAAAAAATACAATACTTTCTTAGATGCAAATGTGGCAGTAGACACACAGCAGTCAATGCTGATTATAAAGATCATCTATTTCATCAAGAACAGTTGACTTGCTGGAGGAACTGTGACTTCTAAGATTCACTAACTAATGCAAAATTGGCAGCCCCAGTTTTCTCACACTTGCATGGGAAATTTCTAGCATGGCAATCATCTTTCGTGGGGTTTGATGGAATTCTTACTTGAGAATGTTAAAATGTACTTTATATTTACCTACTGCAGGAATGTAAGGAGAAAGGAGAGGGTGAGGCAAGTGAAGAGTTGGAGATAATACAGAAGGATGAACCTATGTAAATATACATTTAGGGTGACACATTAGAGACCTAAGTGCCAATTTCCCAAAGGAAATGAGCCAACTTCTGTTTTTCATTATGACTCCTGAATACAAGCTTAAAATTGAAGAACTGCCCATCTTCAGTCATTACTGCAATATCTCTTATAGGATGACT